GTCCCCTATTGTGGGGGAGATGGGCGGGGGAGAAATCCAATAAATAATAATAATAATAATATCCAGTAAAGTGTCCTTTTCTAGATCATTTTCTTGACTTGTCATTTGAAGCTCCACCTTCTATACTTTATCTTGTCAGATAAAATTTGTTCCATATCTGTCATTCCTTCATTGACATCTTTTAGACATACTCTATCCACAGAAGCAAACAACCTTACTGACAGTGTTGATTTTATAGTTACTAACTTCTGGCTCCATTCTTCAAAGATTTCCTTTAATATTTCCAATGTTACAACATTTTGTATCCTTCTTTAAGTCCCAGTATTAACTGACATCAGGCTTTGTATTTTTTTTTCTTCTGCTTAAAATATTTAGTCCCCTCTAGCATCTAGTTTCTAAAATCACTTCTCTTTTGTTATGACTTGCAATTGCCAGGATAACAAAAATAAGTCTGTTTCCCACGAGCAGTTGTTTATTTTTTATAGTTAATTCCAAAACCTTATAGTAAAAATCAGTATTCTAAATTTATCTGGACACTTAATATGTTTATAACTTTCTTAGATCAAGATTTTATTTAGCTTTTTGCTGTTTATTTCAATTTTTTAAAGTTCTTAAGCTTGTAATTAATTTTTCTTTTGTTCAGAGTTGAAGATAAACTCACTCAATGAAGATTTTTCAAACCTATCATTCCATAGGTCTCCGATAGCTTTTGAATAGTTAATAGGCAATTTCTGAAAGTGATTAGAAAGTGAGGTTTGCAAACTTAATGTCCTTTAAAAACTTTTGCTGCAGTTGTGAGCAAGATGGCTGATACTTTCATCTCCCAGCACTCAAACCCACAGAAAACCATTGCCCTGCATTCTCCTTGTGAGGAACAGCTGTCCAGAGCACATGTAGGTGATCTCTCATCCTCTCCTTACCTGGAGAGGTTCCAATGAACTGGTCTACTCAACAGCAAAGTAACTGTTTCTCTTCTACTTCAGCCACAATGATAATTTCCCTTGGATTCTTGTGCCCTATTAACTTAAAAAGAAAAAATGAAAAACCAGCTATAGAAGACCAGATCATGTGACAAATATGTCTCCTTGGCACTGAATGAGGCTGCAGCATAATAATGCATTTTGGAATGGTCCTTTTTCAGGATTTCAGTTGCACAGTTTCACTGTAGCTTCCACCAACATCAGGCTTTTCCTGATCCAACAATCAGTGAACAATTTGTGGCCACTGGCTATGTTCCATTCTTATTATTTCTAAACATTTATTTGTACTGGAAAACTTGGGGGATCTTTTGAGGTGTCTGAACCCTCCCATTTAGGGATGGGTGGCATCATGTTGGTTATAGCAGGGTCAGCATTCAAGCTTGAATATCAGTGAATATCAGAAATAAGAGGAATGGTCACTTCTGCCTTTTCCTTACCTGATGATTTCCAGATATGGTGGATTCTAAACATTAAAACAAAAATCTGAGAAGGCAATAGCCTAT